GGCCCCAGGTACCTTGTAGGTGGTAAATGAGCAGATCAGGATGAGTGCTATAGTAAATCTTTGCAGCACATTTACTAAATGGAGGGCACTCTGGTCCCCCCTGCCTGCACATCCACACCATTGGGCTAAAAAATCAAATTGGAGAGCTAATCTGGCTACTGCTGAATAAACAAGGCAATTTTCCCTAAGCCCATGGTGGAAGAAATAACCCTCCAGCCTCATTCTCATATTTAAGAGGGGGGAAAGGAGGAGATTATAGCAGGTTGAATGCTGTCAGGGGTTGTATTTCAGCGGCAACGAAAAATGCAGAAATAGAGTGTAAATAACTGCCTCTGGCAGCAATAAGAGCCCATGGGGATATGAAGCGCATGATGAAAATTACCTGAGCGATGGTGGAGTTCAAGAGGCAACTAAGAAGCAGTAAAGAAGATAATAAAGTGGCCAAGGAGAAGCCAAAAACACCTTGTCCTGGTACTGCAAAGGTTAAGTAAAGAGGAAGCTGAAATGGAGGCTTCAGGCAGGCCGAACTGGATGATTTAGCAGAGGAGAAAAGCCCTGACAAATGGGATCAAAGGCTGAGGAAGGGGGTTGGCACAAGGTATTTGAAAATGGGCTTTTAAGAGGAATGAAATAAGCAAACAGAAAAGGCTTGTCAGCCAGCTCCAGTTTACCCTCAGCTGAGCAAAAAACAAAATAACCCCCCTCATCACTACCCAAACACCTGAAAGCAAAAGCAGAAAGGCTTTTTGGTCAAGCAAAAATAATCCAGGAAAAGGAAATTTGGACAAGTGATCTTCATTTCCCCTCCTTTGGTATAGAGACTTCTTATGGTCTTGCTATTGTTCTGTTCACCAAGGACTCAAAACAGTTATGCCAAAGTCTATGCCAGCTTTCTCCAACCTGTTTCAGATGTGCTACAAGTGCAGCTAGCATAGCCAAAGGCCACGTTATCATATGGCATGGAATTAGCCAACCCATCTGGAGGATACCATGTGGTCAAAGACTCATTGATGCAACGCTGATGAGGCAAAATGGTCAAAGTTATTTTTTTAAAAATAAATATAGTGAACCTCTTTCACAATGGCAGCTTTAAACAACCCACTTGACCTGCTTCTTGAATTTACTTATTTTCTGAGCTTGTACAATACACTGAATAATAAATTAATCCAGTGAGCTGGGATGGTAGAACGTAAGGTGATAATTGGCTTACAGTGCAATTGTACCCAGGTCTACTAAGAAGTGCCCCTGAGTTCCTGACAGGCAAGCAAGTATAAGAATGCAGTCTTAAATGATAATGTGGGTGTGAACCAAAGCAAAACTTCACTTTCAATCCTTTGAAAAGGGCCTCAATCTGGATTTATTTGGGATCTGCTTGCTTCAGCTAATTTTGTTTTGGAAAACTAGAAGTTTCTTTTCATGAAAGAAATGGGGAAATCGTCAAATAGCCACATGCTTTTCTTCCCCCCAATTTTTTTGATGGGATTGGACATGACTTGCATAAACAGCAACCTCCTCTGAGTGGAGAACACCTGACAAATTTCAGTAAATACGATAACCTTATTTATTCATTTTTTTTGTTTAAAAAATTCTTTAAACTTTAAAAATATTTCTTAGCAGATTTGGATTAAGATTGCAGGTGTAATTGCCCTTTCTGAAATCTGCAAACTGACAAAATTGCAAGAGCAGCATAAGGGATTTATGTAAGGAAGGGATATTATGGTTCATCATACGCTTGGAAGGCATCATGCTGAAGCATTGCTTCCTTTTAAGTTATGAGACCAAAGCTTTACTCCACTTTAGGCTATTTGCTCTTAAAATCCAATCCACAAGCCCAGTTAAGCTGAAATACTGAAATTCAATTCAAAGGAGACTAACTATTACCAAATGGGCTATGTCTTTAAATGCTTTGACATAGCTGACTTGCAGATTTAGCTGCTAAGTAGCTCTTTTCCTCTGCTCCCCCAACTTGCTCTAAGATGCTCCCATCAATGTCTTTCAGCAGAAAAATAGTCCAAGTGTTAGAGTTTCAAATCAAACAGAAAATAACTGCCTCTTTTCAACTGATATATATTCCTCTCTTTCTCACATCCTTTTCTTCTAAGACCCAAGAGAAATTCAAAGGACCACTAGCAGGAAAGTTGAAAGTCAGTACTCCGTAGAGTACATTTTTCCATGGAATGAGTATGAAGCTTGATAAATATAATGGCTGCAAATATAATTCAAACAAAAATTGGACTGTTCTTAAAAGCAAACAGAAATGTCCATCCAATTTCATCAGTATCTAGACAGGAACAAGAAAGAATTCTAGTCCTGTAGAACAACCTCTACATTACTTTATAATTTAGTTTTGGTGTCAAGGTACTCATATCGTCGTAAAAAAATCAATGAATGGTGACAGGCATCTTATTCAATTCTGTATTCCTTTCCTTTTTTTGGGGGGGATACATATTAGATTAATATTTTTTTTAGATCACTGATTTAGAAATCATTGTGTTACTTTCTTCCTCTAGTAATACAATAATATGATTTGCTGATTAATTCTTTCTCCCTCTCCATCACCAAAAATGATGGAGGATGGTGATTCTTTGTGAATAATGACATATTAAAGTTGAGTGATTTCTCACCCATCCTTCCCATTTTTTTTAAAAAAAGGAAATACTTTAACAGAGTGTGTGTGTGTGTGTGTGTGTATCTTTCTAAGGAACTAATGAAAAGTAAAAGTACCCTCTCCCCAAATGAAAAATGATATTGTAGATCTTGCAATTGTGATCTGCAATGCTTGCAGCATGTTTTTGCCTCCTGGCCCCCAAACAATGTGGCATATACTTGCAGGAACTTCAAGCTTACAGAAAAGCTTGAAGAAAAAGTTACAGGACTGGAGCCATAAGCGACCACATTTTGGTTCATAAGACATGAGGAAGATTTAAGAAATGAAAGTAAGGAGATTCTGCAACAGGACCTGACAGAAGAAGGAATGCTCCACCAGAGAGCAAAGAACAAGCCAAGGAGTGACAAACAGAAGCAAGAGCCAGAAAAGGTATCACAGGAACTGAGAAACAACTTTCAACCTCCCACAGAAAGACAACAAGGATGATCAGAGGACTACAAATTCAGATCTATGAAGTGTATGAAAACAGACTGAAAGAAGAGGGAATGTTTAGTTTTGAAAAGAGAAGTGGTGGGTGGATGGGTATCACAGCACTCTTTGAATACTTGCAGAAGAAGGTCAAAACTGTCTCTATCATCCAAGAGTACAGGATATGGAGTGATGGATTTCAGTTACAGGAAGACCCATTTTGAATGAAAGTTAGGAAAAATAATAGGAGGTTGCAAGTGGAATTATCTATCCAGAAAGGTGATGGGCTTCCTGCTACTAGATGTGCTCAAGCAGAGCCTAGACAGCCATCTGTCTGGAACATTTTAGGTTCTTTGATGGCCTAAACTCTAAGATTCTATGGCAGGCCATGCCTGCTATGACAACCATTTTGGAAATATGCAAGTCTCCCACAGTGGGCATTTTATATGTGCACCCATCACAAACTCTGAAAATTCTAAAGATGGCCCGGCCCTCAAAAACTTTCCTACCCCTAATTTATAATTAACTTTCTGTTCTGGCCTCCAGATATAGAGAGATATAAACAGTCACAAAATGTAGTATATCTGCTACTCTTTTTTCCCCAATCTCTTGCAAAGATATTCACATGTTATTTTTCTTATATTTTATTTATTACAGATGTCCTGCAATGAACTCACATTGATCCTTCTCCCATTTGATGGACATATTAAAATAGAAGGCATAAGCCAGGAAAAAATGTTTTTGTGGGTTTTTAAAATAGTTTTACTAATAGTTATTTTTCATAGTTTGCTGCATTTTTCTTGCTGTTTTAGTATTAGCCATCTTGAGGGTTTCTACAAAAATAGAAAAACAGGATAGACATATATACAACAAATAAATATCACTATCATTACCAGCCTGCAGTTGCACCCAGACATTTTAGTTGCATTTTTATCTTTATTTATGGATTTAGGTATATAGCCATGACTAAAATAGAGTTTCACAACACATTTCTTGCTTTCGTTGAAATCTTTAACATGTGAGGGGAAAATTATTAATAGTTTATTATATGTTTTAATGAAGGTTTGAATGCATTCAGTAAGGCCAAGATAACCGATAT